GATCCAATTTTGATTACTAATGCAGCAAATTGTTTAGACAAACCATTGATTAATATTATGTAAATCTGTTTTTGGTATTAATATAGTGAAAATATACAATTTAAAGTTTTTGAATTACGGTTAAAAGTATTACTAGTATTTTGTTTAAACATGAACAAGTAGAAATAATTACTTTATTCATACATTTAAAAACGAAAATATTTACAACATAAGTAATTTAAAATTCAATTAAAATTTGTTATACTGTAAAATAGAGAATAAAATGAATAATTGTAGGAAAAGTGTTGCAAATATACTGTTGTATAACAGTATAAATGAATATTAATGATGAGAATGTAGTTGAATGTGAATAAATGCAATCATTGCATATGATTGTGGTGTCCATCAGTTGTCAATCTTGACGGGAAACTGAGCGCAAAAGTGCGGTCGTTTGCGGCTGTCCTCCAACCTGAGCCTCACCTGCACAGGAATGCTCGGGTAGGCCGGGCTTATGGGCATTGACAGCATGAATACATTATCGACATTTGCAGCGACGGGACAGTTGACTCCATGGGCACAGGCGTTGTCCGGATTCACTCTCCAGGGCACTGACAGACCCAATACAGTGCCCGTTATCTTCACTTTAAGACTATCTGTACTCTCGCCTATCATTGCATTCAAGTGACAAATCAATTAATTGCTATTCATTTCAAGTATTTTCGCAATTTGTGCTCAATTTATGATAAAATAATATAAACAAAAATTATATTTAAAAAACTTCCTATAATAAAGAATTTGGTTATTAAACAAATTTTGAATTAATTAATCAAATTATGTTTATTTGAACTCAATCTGAATCGTTGATTAATTAATTGATTATAGATAACTAATTATCTCAAGCTTCAAGTTTTAGCTTTTTTGGTGTCATAAAAAATTATACTGTATTATAGAATTATATTAGTGATGAATATGTAATTTAATGCACAGAATATTTGTATATAAAAATGATCATATACATACGCGATTTAAAACTTGTAGAAATGGTCACATTTGTTCCCTTTTTGAAAATACACCGATCAGTTAGACTGGGATCACAATCGCTAACATTAATCCAATTTACGATTCCCTTAAGTTGTGACTCATCTGATAATAAAATAAAAATTTGTGTTTAATAAATTGTTTTGAATTGTTAACCAAAATATACAATAGTGTTAATTAATTGCTTACCACATATGGTGTAAGTAAAGCCCGCATAACAATTGTTGATCATTACAAAAGTGAATAAAATAACACAAACACTGGATGTCAATAGATTATTCATATTTTCTTATTTACTATAATTTTGCAAATACTTAAAAGTTATTTAACTTCTATAGAGTTTATGAACCAACAGTATATCCAATGTTTTCGTCTATTTGTAAAATATTTAGAGAGTTTTGCTCTATTTATAGATACAGTTATCAGTGTTTAGTCGCGTATCCTCTCAATCAAACAGACACCTCATGAGCTGATTCCTGACAAACTTGAGACCAAGGATTAGTATTACCACTGAGTTATTGAGGTTTTCAAGTTAATAACAGCTTTGTGGGGATTGACGTCAAGATTTAAATGTAGTCTCACTCACT